CACAGCAAGCATAACAACAGCCGGTGTTTCTCCTGAGAGTTTTCCCCGGGAAACAAACGCAAAAATACACAAACACACACACGTATACACACACACACTCGCGAGCTTCCCCCAGACCAGTAATCCAAACGAAAATATCTTCCCTCCGTACTACTTTGATCATTTGCTCCGCTAATGATCAATCAGATCGATCCAGAGAAGAGGAAACTTTAAAGGCCTTTTTCTCAAAATGATGACAGTCATTATATAATGTGACATATTTAGCTTAATATAGTACAAAAACAATCCTGATATCATTAGAAAGCTAGGAATCTCCTCTTTCCAACAGTGTGTACAACTCAAAATGTGTCTTCGGATCAATGCGACTGATTTCGATGGAGCAGGTCACTTTGCATTAGGTAAAATACAGCAGGCAGACATAACAGAAAGAATATGTACATTTTAATCCAATCAAATAGGACATTGTCACACCATTCAAATGTATCCATGTACATTACAACCAATAACAAAGCTTAGATGTGTTTATTTGTTACGTTGTTTACGTTATGTGTTACGTTGTTCTGTGTGTGTCAGCCGTTAACCTAGATAGATAAACTTGCAAACATGTCAGAAGAACTGGCGCATAAGAAAACAAAATACAGTCAAACTAAGCTGAAATTCAACAACTTGAATGTCACATCCCTGACATCCACAACTCCGGAGCCTGGTCCTTCAACCATAGAACCACCTCCGGATCCTGGTCCTTCAACCATAGAACCAGCGCAGCCAGATGAACCCCAGCAGCAGCTCTGCAGCCGCAGAGGCTGTCAAAACCGCCGCCGCCGGCATCGTTGAACCGAAACAGGCTGGTTCCGACTGCATGGAGGTTTGTTGTCGGGACATTGAGACGGGCAAATAAAAGCTTATTTGGGCAAAGAGAAGGTACTTCAATGCAGAATGGTACAAAAAACAGAGAGTGGTTAATTATTTGCAAAACCACTAAACGAGCCTTCTATGAAATATGCAGATGTGCTGCTGTCAAACGGCTTGTAACTTTCTCCAAATGTGGAGATGACAGCTTTGTAAATACCGAGTTAATAACTGGAACTTTTCACAGAGCTTACTTCAGTCAAACACCAGTCAACATTCAGCTTGTCAAACAAGAGCGTAGCAGGAAAAAAGAAGAGATGGAATGAGCAACTGCGCTGTCATATGTGTGGGCTGGTCTGTGTAGTTTAATTTACAGGAAAGGAGTGAGCAGAGGGTTGAGTTGTCCATTCTTGTTCTGTTTTCTCTGACTATCTTCCTCCTGAACACCCTCTCAGACTTTCATTTGCTCGCGCTACTAAAGAGACACGTTACCATGGAAACCAAACAATGGTGTAGCTGTATTGTGTCACAGTCTGCACCATCTTTCACCAGTAGTTTTCCATTCACCTGTCTCACCTGTTAACCACACCCACGTTTTTGCTCACTCTCTTTCTCTTCTGCACCCATTAGCTTCACTGCCAGTATTTAAACACTCACCAGACACACACCCGTTGCCAGATCGTACTTTGCCTTATGCTAGTCTTTCACGCGTTTGTCATCAGATTGCCTACCCGGTTCCGACCCTGCCTGTCCCCGACCTGCCTGCTCTGCCTTATCCCTGATCCTGCCTGTTCTTGGACTATCCTGCCTTGCCTGCTGTCTGACCTGCCTGTACCTACAGATGAAGCACTCCAGATCAGACTCAGGTGGGTGTGTCCCAGTCAAAAGCCCAGCGGATGCCAGCGGCTGGGGGTGTTGCCAAATTGCTAGGGGGCGTTGCCCAATTTCCCCATTTGTTCAATTACAGGATTTAACCATGAGATGGCGCTTCATTCACAAAATACACAAAGACAACTGGGTGTTGATGAACTTAGTCTGTTTGCAATTTTTGCAGCTCTGCAGTTGTGTTTTGCTGAATACTGTAGCATTTAATCACTTATTTGTTACTGTATGGTTTTCACAAGCTACTATAATGAAAAAACATCAATATTTTAGATCAAATAAAGTATATAGTTTGCTTTATGCAGTATATTTCTTGTAATATTGTTGGGGTGTTTTTACACAGTACAGTAGATTGAAGTAAATCAACTTATACATTAAGATAAGATAAAATGGACCTTTATTAATCCCGTGGGGAAATTCAGTAGTTCAAACAGCAACAGGGTGAGAGTGAAAAACAGGACAGCACAGATTCACACAGATTAATAAAATCAAAAATAAGATGAGCGATAAAAATAATAATAATGAGAAACTATGAAATAAGAAATGAATAAAACTAAAATATAATTATCATATCATGTATTATAATGTATTGTATTATTATGTAATATCATACATTAACCCCATTATAGCAGATGCCACATTGAATGGATGAACACATTTATGCATCAATAATTACAACAGAGTATTTCTAAATACAAGTTGTAAAAATACTTATATGTATTTAATATTAACCCTTTGGAGTCAACCGTCACGCCGGCGTGATCAGATCACATGACCTGTGCCGCATAATAACAACAGTCCGGACAACATTGCCGTGTGTTTCTGTCGAAAGTACTGGCTTGAAACTATATCCCAGTCTTTGTTTCATGCAAAAAGACCCAGTAAACACGGAGAGACGATGATATAAAGTTAATACATTTCAAAAGTATGAAAAATGGAAGCACATATTTGAATATATTCGCCGCATTTGATCATTTTACGAAACGGAAAATACTGGAAACTGTAGATCCTGCTCAACAGGATGTATATGTGTATTTCTGTCGAAAGTACTGGCTTGAAACTATATGCCAGTCTTTGTTTCATGCAAAAAGACCCAATAAACAGACAAAAATAAACACGGACATACGATGATATAAAGTTAATACAGATATATTTCAGAAGTATGAATAATGGAAGCACATATTTTAATATCTTCGCCGTATTTGATAATTTTACGAAACGGAAAATACTGGAAACTAGATTCTGCTCAACAGGATGTATTTACCAGGGAGGGGGTGAGGTAATCAGGTAAACGGAGTGATACGAAACGAGACGAAAAGAGACGAAGAGGGACGGCGGGAACCGAAGAGAGACGGCGGGAAATGAGAGAGACGAAGATATACGAAGACAGGCGGCGGGAGACGAAGAGAGACGGCGGGAGACTGGATTGAAGTAAAGTGACAGACAAACATTGAGAATTTAGATATAGTTAGATAGATTTAGAGTTTTGAAGATTCAACTATGATGAAGAGAACTCTGAACGTGAGTCAAGCTTTAAGCTTGTTTTTTGACATGGAGGAGGAGGAACCTGTGATGTTGCCCTCTGTGTCGTATTGACAGAAACCGCTTTGAAGCGTGGCACAGATAAAGACAGAAAAAACTGATTTTTTTACATAATGTGTATATATATATATATATTTGTATTATATTTATAATAACACTTTTGCCTTATCAGAATGAAATCCCATGCTACCTCAATCAAACTTTCACATTATCATAGTGACATCCCATGTATATATTTCCAGCTTTTAAATGGTTTCGTTGTGTATGTTTGTGTTACATATGAAAAATAATATCATTTTCAAAATCTGTTTTTACGTTTTTTTTGTGATTTTGGGTCCAAAATGTTCATATAATAGAAGATCACTGCTCTAAACAAAGTCAAAAATCCTACATCCAAACGAAATAAATATAATGAATTATGATGAATACGTTAAGTCTTGTTCATTGTTTTTCACTTTTATTAAATGTTTGATATTTCCGGTGGAAATGGTGGACATTCAAAATGCAGCATATTTTCACTCTTACACACATATATTCTCCTTTTACATACATACATTTTCACTCTTACACACATATATTCTCCTTTTACATACATTTTCACTCTTACACACATATATTCTCCTTTTACATACATACATTTTCACTCTCACACATACGGTGGCCGGCAGGTGCAAACGCTAAACAATGGCCGAAAACACACACATAAGCAGGAAACACCCGCAAATAATGAAATGAAAAACCAACAAACCCTGAAAACACATACAACAGAAAAACGCTGCAAATACAAAAACGATATGCAAAGTCAAAAGCACATACAACCGAAAAACACATTACCAAAAAAAAAACATGCTTCAGGCCTCTAGGGGTCCTCTAGGGGGCCTCTAGGGGGGCGCTACGTGGAACAGATCGATGTATGACCAGACATAGAGAGAACGAACAAGAGGAAAGAAAGTTCATTTAAGTGGAGAAAGATATAAGAAGGTAAGTTTTGTTTTGTTTTTTTATACATAGAGCGTCATATTTACCTAGCTAGTGTTAGCGTGCCTAACTACTACACCAGCTGAGGGAGGAGAGCTTCACGTGAAGAGAAGATAAAGTGAGGGAAGAACATTGTAAAGAGATGACAAATCAAGTGCAAGTAAATAACACGGGCCATAGTGAGTACCGCGGAAAAAGGACATTTGAATTCTTAGCAGTTTGTTTATATTTATGTATTTGTGTATAGATGTTGCAACTATACAGAGCTTTAGCAATTGCCTGTAACTATGGTCATGCTAATAAAGCTATTGAATTGAATTGAGAGAGAAAGAGAGAGAGAGAAAGTGACAATGTGAAGAGGGACAAAGTAATGACAGGATAGTAGTGTGCATTAGACATTCAAGGAGAGAGAGAGACAAATCACAGATTCAACGGTGAACATGATGTATCTATTTATTTAGCTAACCACTATTTAGACTATGTGTTTTTGATTGACTTGATTACATGGATTTACTACATCAATGTATGTCTTTTCAGGCTGCCATGTTTTATCCTTTCTGTGGCCAACATCTGGGGACAGTTCAAGTGTTCTGTGGCTCCTGTGGCAAACATGTACAGTTTTTGGCAGAAGTTGAACACAACAGTAAGTTCACTTTTTGTATTGTATCTGTTTCAAATGCAAGAAATAAGGATTCAACACACTGCTCTGTTTAGAATACTAATTGCAGATGCATACACTAGGACACATTTTTTCATTGTCTGTTTATGTGAAATATGTAGAAGCCATCATTAAATTGTAGACCAACGCATGATTAAATACACAAAACAGCTTATATTATACATTCATAATTGTGTATTAGTTATATCTTTATAAAGAACATTATACATTTAGAATCAGATTTTGAGACAGTGAGCCATGACATGATGTTTTCTTCTTTTTCTCCTTGTGTTTTTGAACTATAGAAGTTGCAATCATCCTCCCAGCATGAAAGTATTCGTCATCTTTTGCAGCTGTTGATATTTTTTGTTAAATTATTATCACGTTAACCAACAGTTGCCACGTTATCATAAATATATACAGTATAAGATCATTTAATTGTCACGTAAATCAAGCTGCAAAATCCATAAGCAGCTCCTATATTTACAGTACAGTATTGAACATAAGACAGATTTGCGAACATCATTACCTGCATTGTCGAACTTGAGGAATTTCCTGTCCTGTGGACCATCAAATATTCTTCTCATTCTCAGGCATTCCATTAGGAGGGTCAGGAACTCACGCTTGGGACCACCAGTGTCCACTCCATCCTCAGTTTGTCCCTCATCATCAGTAAAATTAACCTGCATCTGATGAGAGGGGTCGAATGAGGCCCCTTTGAAGCCGCGGATTGCTCCATTCCACACATTGGCTCTATTAATATTGAACCTGCTGCAAGAGGTATTTTTAATTTTTGCAGAGAGTTCTGCAACAATGTCTGGCGCAGTCAGGTATTCTGTGCTGGGAAAGACAAAGTGATGTATTGTAATATTAAATGATGAAGCTAGTAATAAGATTTACAGTATAGAATAAAAACATCAAGTGATAAAAGTAACAATTAATACATTTCCTCTGCAGTTTCCTCTTCTGGCTCAGACTGGCTGTCAATAATGATAAGTGCATACACAGTTGTGTAGTTGCTGCAGTGAGAAGACAGTTGAATAATTACTTTCAAATACATAATATATGCATGACAGTCATATTTGCAAAAGGATGTCGATCCTCTTTCTGTTTTTTTTTAATACATTGGATTCTAAACTGACAACAGCACTTTGTCATACTCCTGCACAATCCTTGTAAACATTTGAAATGGATGCAACAAACAATATCTGACCTTTGAAAAATATTTGTGGGTGTTTTTTGTATCGTCTTCACTAAGATGTTGTGGGTGTCCTTTGGAAATGTATGAAAGTATAATTGTTCTGCTTCCTGGCAATATTACCCACTGTGATTGGAGGCTATGCAAACAACCAAATGTACAAAGAAAAATACACACCAAACAACTGTGTCACGATGCAACTGTCAACATCGTTTACCTATAGAAGGTGTTCTGACCCGGGGCAGACTGGACCTCTTCCTGGAATGGGGTTGGTTCTCCATCCTACTTTTACCCAATAAATAATGATGCAGTTTATCTAATGACAGTGTCATTAGCACACAAAGGTATTTATTGATTTCATGTTTACAAATTCAAACCTACATGGTATAATTACATTTGTAATTAGTCTTACCCGATCAGACGCTGGTTGTGGGTGCCTGAGAGGTCTGATAAAGGTAAACAAAAAATATATTCAAACTACTGTACTGTTAAAACATTCTGCTTCTTGTGGCACAAAATAACATGTTGACATTGTTTTATTTTACCCTGACAAACTGTTGTCCATTCTGGGAGTGCTCTGTTCATTTGGAAAGTCCCACACCTGCATACAACACACAAATGACTGACTGAAATAAAATAAATTCACTTTAATTAAGAATAAATGCCACGATAGATCCAAACTGACCACGGTGTCAGCAAGACTGTCTCCAAATGGCAACTTTGCAACAACCACACTGTCCTCGTCACTTGAAGAGGTTGTTCCAGTGTAACCTAAGAAAATAAAAGTGTCATGATTAATACTATACAAATAATTGTTCCCCTACGTCTGTACCTATCATCAAATGTTGGTTTTAATCCTGAATAATTGGATTGACATCAATCAGAAAGGATTCAATCGAAACACAAAATGTTTGTGAAATATACATTATATTGTTGACCGTCTTTTTCACTCTCACATTAGCAGTGGCGTTTCTAGGTGTACAAAACTGGGGGGGCAGAAAGAGGTCGGGGGAGAGAGAGAGAGAGAGAGAGAGAGAGAGAGAGAGAGGGGGGACAGAGAGAGGGGGGGAGGAGAGAGAGAGGGGGAGTGTCAAATTACATACTGAAGACCACAGGAGCAACACTGTGAGCGCATACATTTACGTACACAGCGTGGGGATGTCATAGTAATGCACCTTCATACATGGAGTAAAGGTCACCATCACAAAGTAATTCTTAACAATAACAACAACCGTAATGCTTTAGCATTAAAACACCATAGACTGTAAATATAAAGAAAACACAGACACTCATCATCGAGGTCACAATATCAATCGATCCAGCAGAGGCAAAACACAGAAGATCAACAAAATATATGACATAAATGAACTTACCAAAGCTGAAGGCTCACTTGAAAAGAAAAGCGGCACGGCGGTCCTTCCTCTGACAGAATGTGTCTATCACTTTGGGGATGAAGTCCTGTAGTTGCTGGATCAACTGGCTTTCAATTGAAAGCATGGCCAATGCGTTAAGTCGCGGCTGTCCCATGGTGTTGCGAGTGAAAGTCTTTATCCTTTTGAGGGTGGAAAAGTTCCTCTCTGACTCGGATGTCGTCATCGGAGTTGTCACTATTATTTTGACCAAAATAACAGTCTCAGCAAACGTTTCCTCCGCCGTATGCCTCACTTATGGTGACCGCATCCCATCCTGGTTGTGCGCGTATATGCTTCATACACTGAAGTAGTGCATCTCGGGTCTCCCAAACCGCGTTCACAGTTCTGCTTTTAAAGTTCCATCTCACAGCCGGTGGCCGTGGGATGCGTCTCTGTGTTGCCTCTGCAAGAGCTGCAACACGTTTTGGAGCACCGGAGAAAAAAGTGGAAAAAGCAGTTAGATCTGCAAAAAACCCCTTCAGGATGCTCATCCTTGCTGCACACAGTTGCTGCAGGGTCAGGTTCAGTTGGTGGGCGTAGCAGTGAACAAACTGAGCGTTTGGGTACGTCTCCTTCATCACCGTCTGTACCCCGCGCACGTTACCGCTCATGACGGCCGCCCCGTCATAGGTCTGAGCGATTAGCTTTTCTTTCAGCTTCAGGGGTTCCAGAACAGCCTTGATGCTGTTAGAGAGACCTACACCAGTTTTGTCCTTTACTTCCACAAACTCCAAAAAACGCTCTGTAACTGTGAGGTCAGGCATAATGTATCGCAGCACAATCACCATTTGCAATTTACAGGAGACATCGGTTGTCTCGTCGGCCTGAACGGCAACAAATGATGTGTTGTCCACTTGCTTGGCTATTTCCTCCCTGTACACATCATACATGCAGTCCAAGAGTTCATTCTGTATGGTGCTTGATGTCCCTTTGAAAACAAGCTGAGCTTCGTAGTGCCGTTGAAGCCTCACACATTGTCTCGAAAATTGACCTGAATATCCCTGGATTCAGAGAGTCCGCCGACTCGTTGTGGCCCCGCAGTGCTGTCTCACATTTCCCACACAGTTTAATACAGGTGATGATCCGACCAAGCACGTACCTGTTTTCTTCCACCTTCCTATTATGAGAATCAATGCCACGTCTGTAGGCGCTGTCAATCTGAGCTGCAACATTCACCCTTCCAAGTAATCCCAATTTTACGGCATTTTCCAAATGACTGTTGCTGCTCTCATGCTTCATTGTCCTCTCCGAAAGATGCTTTAAGTCCTTGTAACCTGTCCTCGACCAAGTACCTTGATCTTCACCAAAAAGCAGGCAAGGAAAGCAAAAGAGGGAATTCTTCTGGATGCTCGCCGTTAGCCATTTCTTTTTAGCAAACCACTCAGCGTTAAACCCACGTTTAACTTTGCCCGCAGTCTGGACCATTTGGAAATCCGGTGGATGGTGGGCTAAGTGTCTCAAATGTGTGCTCCAGTAAATGGTCAACTTCATTCATTTTCTTTCAGTTTTTTACTTCTTTTAATCGCTGGTGATGTTAGCTATATGCTGCTCTCTCGTCTCCTCTTCAAACTACACGTGACGTTTCGCAGCACTGCACACGTGAGTACTTACAGCCAATCAATTCTGAATTATGTGAGATGACGTATGGTGGGGATGGGAGCACTCTGCCCCTACGGTCATTATTTTTTTGCCACACACATTCAATAGAAAAATACTCTGAGCATGCGCAGTGTAGTTTTTACAATCACCGTTCACTTAGACTGTGAGAGGGAAGGGCAGGATCGGGTTTTGTCCCACATGGCTCTAAACAGCTCAAAACGGCACTCTAGACACTAATTAGAAGAACACAGACTAAAACAGAAATGTACAGACGAATCAGATTATTAAACATGACCTTAAAATATATTTTATATGTTTTTTTATTTATTTTTTAGTATTTTTTTGTAATCATTATTTGTAATACTTTCTTCTGACACTAGGTGGGGCTGTGCCCCACCTGCCCCTAATGACCCGCCGCCACTGCACATTAGGATTTAGGGCACAACAAACCAACCAAAGTATTGCCGTCCAGGCTTGCACTTTCAGATATGCTTCGTTTGCTTCTCTATTACGTCCGCTATGGTAATGTTTACGTCGATTTGGGAACTGCCCATCGATTCTATTGGTTCTGATGGTTAAGAAAAAGGTGTAAATCACACGAATCGACCAATGGGTTCCAGAGATATGGTCCTGCGCAAATTATAAAGAATGGCAGCCAACTTAAGTACATTACGTAGCCGACTTCATTTATTGTTTACAGCGTAACGAAGCAGGTATTGCAGGACCCAGAGCGCACGGAGCACAGAGCGGACAGCAGATAACGGAATTGCAGTTTTATTGCTTATAGATTATCAGAACATTTCAAAGGGGACACAGCCCCATTGGATATTAATCTATGGATTAACTACATCATCGTTTTTATCGTTTTAATGCCATTGAAGACCAGTTTAGACCAGACAACGAGGAAGGTAAGTCATTGTTAGCCTAGCGCATTAGCGCTAGCGCCATTTGTTTTGATGTACGTTTTTGTTGATAACGTCGCGAGTTTGTATCTTTCAGTGTTGGGCTGTTCAGGTGGGCACCGTTAGATTCTGTGTCTCCTTGCGATCATAAACAATGTGTTGGATGTGCAGCTAGGATAAGTAATAAGGGAGCGAGGAGTGATTTTCGGCGCTGTAATAGGTTAGCATTTTTCGCTCTGGGCTAATTCAGAGGCTAGGCCTAAGAGTAGGCCTATGTTTTATTTTATTTTATTTATTTATTTTTTTTCACAACAGTTGTATTTGGATGGAATGAATACCTATAGTGATAATTCAAAGTAATAAAATGATTTTTACAGTGAAAAAGTTCAAATGGAACCGATGGTTCCCAAATTACCCAGAGGTGAGTCCGCTTAGACTTTATTTTTCTAAATCTCTCTAAAAAGGTGAAATTTCACTTGTTTTGCATCAATCTTGATACAGGGTACTTATTATATGTTATAGTTTGGATTCCTAAAGCTTTTAGTCTACTAACCCATCATGCAAGGGTGGTTTTCACGATAAGTAAAGGTTTTTTTTTTAGGTGGACATTAGAATTTACATGTTTTTACTATGTTCCATCTGAATTTACTTTAAAATAAAAACATCTATATTGATTCTGACACTTCTACATCCAACTCACAGATGTAACCTTGCTTTGAGAAAAATAATTATTAATTTACCCCTTTTTAGAAGTGAAGATATATCATTTGTTGTGTTAGTGGCATTTTCGAGCCTGAAACCTGAAAAACAGGCTCAGGGCTTAACTGGTTAAGAGGGAATTTATATTTAGTTTGAACAGAAGGAAAGTTTGGAAGCTTTTGTTGATACTTAAATTCAATTTCTTCTGCCACTATTCATAAGACCATTTGACGTCATAAGTTCAACCACGAAGAGAAAGGAATGATGGGTGGAATGAATTGTGTTAAGAAATATAGACAGAACAACTGTTATGTTTACATTTGAACTATTATACAGTTTAGTGCTTTAAACAAGGGGGAATATATGTCAGAAGCACTTACAACTGTTTTCAACGACTTCAAGAGTACAGATGTACAACGTAATTCGTTGGTAGGGCTTTCCAATGACCTCTTTGTACATCTGTACTGTGAAAAGGGTGTCCGTTCCGGGGATATTTGTTATCACCCTCGCATCAGGGTACAACAAGACATGGGCACCATCTTCCAAGTCCTGGTTAAAGGCTTTCTGCTTTTTTATGGCAGCAGCCAACAGTTCTCCACATGCCCATTGAGGTTCAACATTAAGGCGAAGTGACCTCCCTCTCACGGGTTTAAGGCAGCCATCCATCCTCCTCATTACTCAAACAGAAATCTGCAAAAAGACAATAATATGCAAATGAATAAAAAAAATTTTCAGACATTATATGAGTGTGGTGAGCAGATTTGAATGACAGATGTATTCATAATAGAAAACGTTGCATACCTTCACCAATTTCTGTTTATTTTTGGAGTTATGCCGTCCCTTTGTAAAAAAGGTCTCTCCCTCTTTTTTATTTCCCTATATTTCTGAAAGGACTCTACAGCTGAGCTTCCTGCTACAAAAAAACAGGAATAAAACATTCATTACTCTTCATTATGTTCAATAGGAGTCTCATCCTCAATCCCTTCTGAGGAACATCTTATAACACATTCAACAGTAGGTAAGCCACATAGTTTAGAGATGTATTTGTATAATAACAGAATTCGAACTTTTAAACCAAGTTTTCTATAAATACTTATTGTTTGGTAATAAAACGAACAACCTATTTACCTGCACTGGTGCTAGGCTGTGCACTTAGATGCGCACTAGTGGTGGGCATCTCCTCAGGGACTTTGTTAGTCACATCTTTTAGAAATGTGATGTCTCTGCCACAGACACCACAAAAGCCATGCGAAGATGTCACGCTGGAACCACAGAATGGACAGTACATCTGTGGAGAAATAAAATGTAGGACAACTAGGTTAAGTCAAAAAGAGTGGATATTTTTCGGCTACCTAAATATTATAATAGTATTAAAGAACGGTCTTTCAATTAACTCATCAGAAGCCAACCTCCTGTCTATCCCCCCACAAACCAAGCACCGAACCTGGGGGGACAGAGCTTTCTCCATCGCTGCCCCCTCCCTCTGGAACTCACTCCCATTAAACATCAGACTGCACCGACCCCCCCACCTTCAAAACACACCTCTTCAGACTGTTTTTTAATGTGGGAATAATGTTGTCTTGCTGTTTTAATATTTTAATTCAACTTTTTACATTTGATTTCCTTTTTATCACCGCATCGCATTTGCGGCTCAGTTGAGGCCCCCTCCAGGAGGTGAGGGCGTGAGACCCCACCCAGTCTGTGTGATCTGCGTGTAGGGAGGGGCGTCCCGGTTCTATACTATATCTATATTATATCAAGAGTTACATTTAGGGGCACAGTGGCTCTTGCAAGCTCTTTGATCAAACACGCTAACGCTAGCTACGTAAATATGACGCTCTATGTATAAAAACAAAACTTACCTTCTTATATCTTTCTCCACTTAAATGAACTTTCTTTCCTCTTGTTCGTTCTCTCTGTCTGGTCATACATCAATCTGTTCCACGTAGCGCGCCCCCTAGAGGCCTGAAGCACTTCCGGAATGTTTTTTTTGTTGTAACGTGTTATTCGGTTGTATGTGCTTTTGACTTTGCATATCGTTTTTGTATTTGCAGCGTTTTTCTGTTGCGTTTGTTTTCAGGGTTTGTGTGTTGTAGGTTTAGCTTGCATCATTTCTGTAAAATGCAGCGTTTTTCTGTTGTATGTGTTTTCAGGGTTTGTTGGTTTTTCATTTCATTATTTGCAGGTGTTTCCTGCTTATGTGTGTGTTTTTGGCCGTTGTTTAGCGTTTGCACCTGCCGGCCACCGTACACACACGTATATATACTCACACATTCATACATTTTGCTCTCATATTATCATATTTCAATGCACACATTCATATATTGTCACTCACACATTCATGCATTTTGTTCTCATATTCATATAATTTAATGCTCATATTTATACATTTTGCTCTCATGCGAAATCTACTAAAACAAAGTATGTCATGGTAGTGGTCAGCTGTTAAACACAAAAGTGTATCTTAAGGGCTGTAAATATAATAAGCCTGTTGTCAATTTTAGACACAGGCTTATTATATTTACAGCCCTTAATAACATTCATTTTCTGGACTCAATGTGTGTCTTGGCCGTTTTCTTTGTTCCAAGCAAACGAGTGCTTTTTGTTTTGAAATCACTTCCGCGAGTTTCGCGGGCCTCCCCCCTCGCTCCACTCACCATTAGACCATTTAGTAAGGTAACAAGCAAAAGGGCAAAAACGCCTCTCAGACGCTCTTCCGTTTACTTTATTAATAAAGAAAAACAAATGGTCCGTAGATACACGGACTCATGTATGTATACTGTAAGGAGAATGTATGTGCGTGAGAGGACCAGTATGAATTACGGCATATAAATATGCAAACACAAACCTACAGACTGGGGGATGGGAGATCACAGGAGTGGGGGGGGGGGAGAGCTGCGGAATGTGACCCTTGGCAGAATTCCTCCACACATTCCGATGGCCAATTCGTTTTAAACAAAGAGTCGCAACACAGGACAGCATAGGCAACATGGGGGGTGGGGGCTGGTGAACGGTCTGGTCAATGTTTGTAAACACAATCCCCAGGATGTGTCCTAATCAGGAGCCGGGTAAATGAGAGACTGAGGAGGCCCCGAAAAACAGATCCCGAAATAGCTCGTCCTGGTTTCCGCAGCAGATAGGCCTACAGTATGGTGTCTGTTATGTCAGTCATTTTAAATAAAACGTTGAAAACTGAACTTGAAAATGGTTTCCTCTTTTTATTTTATTTATCATTTTCGGGACGGGGAGACGTGTGTGATTACAAATTAATTTGCAGAAATGTAAAGTGATCTAACTAAGTTCTATTCATATTCTTGACGGGAAGAGCAGTGTAAATGGGTGGCCATATGCATTTGAAAAGCAATATAAATCACACAGTTATTATACAATAGGCTATAAAAGCACCATCGATAACCATTACCTTTATCCAATTCAAACTTTGGACGGGAAAAAAGGAAGGTGTACATGGTTGGGCTATACTGTAGGCCCAGGGGCGGCGGGTGCTGTAGGCTAAGCCTTCCCAAATATTTGTGTAACTGCATCCTGGTAAAATAAAAATATAATGTCTTTGACATTAGCGCTGCTATGCAGCCACCTGTGCCCTGTACCATGAAGCCAGTTCAACAGACCCTGGATATGCTTGAGTTATCTTAACTATCCCTAACAAACGCGATCTCGCTAAACGGTCCTACGGTGCTGGTTATCAACTCGGTAAATCAAGCCAGGGTTTCTCTCTCCAGCTGAGAACGCGTTCACGTGAAAGGGGTTAGCTACATTTGACCAATCACAAACAGGGACAAAGTGTACTGACAGCGCAACATCATACTTCATTAATGAAAAGTAAACTAATATTAGACAAATATGAACTTTAAACATCCATGATGACTTAAACATATAATCCAGGATACAAGCCACATAGTTGCACCTGCAAGGAGAATACAGAACAACTCGTTAAAAAATAAACTACCGAGTGTTTGAAAGCGTACAACAGTTTTATGATACTGCCCCATCTAGAACACGAGGGGATCTGACTTTATTACATTTGAGTTGAGTGTTTCGTCAACTTAATGTGTTGCTTAAAATAATACGTCTGCATACAGTATATGTGACAATGTAACTAAGTGTTGCACGGCCAGATACGGCTCGAGAAGCTGACTCAGATAAGGAAATATTGTGATATCGATGATCTGATTGATGATGTGATGTCAGTGTGATATGAATGATAAGTGCGACACGTCGGCGTCTTCTCTGCATACGGCAGTTTAAACTGCATTTCCTTTTTCCTGTAATATGACTTGATAGATTTAAACTCCGCACACTGAGCTCTGATCGGTCAGCAGGCGGTGCTTTCACTGAGTTGATCTCTTTTCTATAGACGCCGGAGGCGGGCAGCGTAAGATGAACAAAAAAGTTATTTAGCCTTCCCAAACCTGAGCCTCACGCGCCGCCTATGTGTAGGCCTACTGTATACATACAAAGGCCATTCAAGCTAGAGTTCTTCTGGAAATGTTCACATCAGGCACCTTCAAGTTAAACAATACTAAACAATTAACACAGTAGGCCTAAATTATGTGGATTAAACCACATTTATTTCATTAAAAATAAACGAAATATGATTTAGTTTGAATGATTAAATGTCATCAGGCACCTTCAAGTTAAACAATCAGGTGCACACTTTAATGTGCCGGTGTTACCGTTTAACTGGTTACACCGGGGAACTCGTTACGTTAACGGTAGGAATGGGGCGTGTACTTTGAGGAGTCATTGTCGAATAACCAGGAAATACACATTTCGATCGCTTCTTTTGTTGTTTACATTTATCTGTTGGTATATTTGGCTCCATAGGAACACTTTGATGCACATTCAGTACCAGTGTGTGAGGTTGTGGTTGCGATGCCGATATCCGGACGCGTTCAGCGAGGACTACAAAATGACAATGAGGTGACTGGGGATGTCTGTTCAAAACATTGCAAACGTGAATAAATCATTTCAAATATGTATTTGTCTCCGACTTTCATTTGTACATCGTTGTTAATATGATGTTTAGTAGCTTTGATAGCTGTCCATGCCTCCAGACAGCCTAAAAGTAAGACACAAGTTGTTTACTCACAGCCCGAATGCAGCATCGAGATCCGTGGCCAGCTGTGATCCTCTCCGATTAACTTGTGACAGGACTTCTTTAGCTATTCTCCAGCGAGCAAGGTTTTTATTAAATACCTCCATCCCTCTCATCACAACAAGACTCTACACTGTGCAGAAAAAAAACAACATAAATGAAAATAACCTTGCCGGATAACTTAGAATGAAACAAACAAACTATCTTCCATGGCTGATACTGATGTCACAGTAACGGCTAAACCACAGACAAGTCCAGCGGGGGGGCACAAGTTGAATCCATATAATGAAATTGTTATTTTATATATTAGGGGTGCACCGAATGGGAAATTCTTGGCCGAAACCGATACCGAAAATAGGAAACAGTTGGCCGAAAACCGAATGCCGAAAGGCCGAAAATGATTGGTAAAAAATGTATACATTATATATATATATTTCTATTAATGTTGTTCAGCTACCTGATTATGGAAATAGACATGATTATGGCAAAACTTAACTTAAATAATAATCACTATTATGGGTCCATAAAACATTTATTCAGCACTTTTGAATGCATACAGTACATTTATATATGTCATGTATTATTGCTAAAAAACATTATATCGCAGTCTTAGTGTCACCAACTCGTTTATAATATGCAAAGACAACAAATGCGTCTATGATGTATTTTCGATCAGACGAGATCTCTCTCCCGTCTGTGTGCGAGGGGGCGGGGCAGTTTACACACGCAGCTGCTACATGCAGCGGAGCACACTGCGGAGATGGCGGAGAGAACGCGCTCCGAGGTGTGGTTAAACTTTACCCGTCTCGATGTGGAGAATACTTGTTACCATAAGTGCAATAAGAGTTTAGCATGTAAGCACGAGCAATTTGTCTAAACATTTAGCAAAAGTGCACCGCATGCAGACGGAGGAATGTACCGGGTTCGACCGTCTTTCTAGCAGCTCTGTAGCCCCATCCACGAGTAACGTTTCCACGTCAGGTGTTATGTATGCTAGCAGCAACACACGGAGTTAACTCAATGATACAAACATGGGTTAATGATTAGAGGAAACTGAGTTATTTAGTTTGTTAAAATTTCAGCTATTCTGTTTACAGTCTGTCATCAGATTATTTAATACGATTTGTTAAAGGCTCAGGGCAATCTCGATGACAAAGGTCAATGTCCCCCCCCCCCCCCCCTGTGAGCCAGCCGCGAGCATGGTCGCCGCGTCTTTATTACGTCATCACAACAACACGTTAGATTACCAACGTAAGCCTGTTCTGACATTCGGTGATATTTTTTCGGTGCTAAAACCCTTTCGGCCGAAAGGGCCTTTTTAACCATTTTTGGCCGATAATTTTCGGTGGCCGAATATTCGGTGCATCCCTAATATATATATACACATACATGCTATATATATTTATATTTATTTCTATCCTACATTGTCTAGGCTATATAAACCGGCGGAAGTGTCACAACTTTCTTGGTTTGTGATTATAGAGAGAGATAGATAGCGACAGAGAGATAGATAGCGAGACAGATAGATTACTGTGCATTGCCCCTGCTAGATAAACCATTAAATAAATAGAAGAGCATCAGGACTGTTTTACATTACATGACATGTTACTTGTTAGACACTTTTATCCAAAGCGACTTACATACTCAATACTGTGGACAATCCCCACAGGAGCAATTTGGGGTAAAGTGTCCCTGATCCGAACACCAACGCACTAACCCACTGCGCCACATTTAGGCCCTTTAGGCATATGATAGCTATGTGATTAACATGATGACAAAGGTATCCCAACTGTAGCTGTGAACATGACAGGATGTGTGATTACCTAGAAGAGCATCAGGACTGTTTTAGGCATATGATAGCTATGTGATTAACATGATGATTCAGCCTCACAAAAGAAGCGATCGAAATGTGTATTTCCTGGTTATTCGACAATGGCTCCTCAAAGTACACGCCCCATTCCTACTGTTAACGTAACGTAACGAGTTCCCCGGTGTAACCAGTTAAACGGTAACACCGCCACCTCCGGACTCGGCTTGACTCGGTTTAAAGAATGCACAAATGTGTTTAATCGTTTATGTCAGATATGTACTAAGTAGCCTAAATACATTTGTTCCTGCTCAAGATTAGATTCAACTTTATTGTTATTGCACATATTGCAGGTACTAAGACAACGAAATGCAGTTTAGCTTCTAACCAGGGGTTCAACAAGCAGCGAAAAGTAATGTGCACAATACTACAGAAAACAATTAACACAGTAAATTATGTGGATTACACCACATTTATTTCGTTAAAAAGAAACGAAATATGATTTTGTATGAATGATTAAATGTAGGGTGAATTGCCCTAATGTGGGACATTTTTGCATTTCAGACTTCGGGAATATATTGCGATATGAAGCCGATACAATAAATCAAAATCCAATACCATTCCGAAATCCCCAGTAATATTAGACACTAATAATACAGTAAACTATTAACACTGTACATATTATTGTTTGCCCGTGGGATTAGGATGATCGGTAGTGAGACCCGTGCTGCATTTTCCTCCGGTCGGATGCGATATAAAAACAAAGCGATTATTTTTGTTGTTGTAAACTCACGTGGATTAAATTTAGTGCATTAATTTCAACTCGCGAACATATGATAGCCTACATTAAATTATCGTGAGGATGATGATTGAAAATCGTTTGTTTGAGCCTGGATGCATTTCCTGATCTAAAAACATAGCGATGGTTTTGTACTTACGCCAACGTGAATTAAACATTATTTTGTTAAACATGGGGATGTTTAGTAAATGATTACATGTCTCTTATTTAGCACAGAATATGATCATATCCGTGACATATGGATCTTAACAAATATCCGCTATATCAGATACCTGTAGATCAGCTGTTTATTTCACATGAGTTCCAGTGTGGCAGCTTTTTAATCACGGCTCCCCCTGGTGGATCCATTATCCATTGCAGCTGGTTTCATTATAATTAAATGTATTTATCAAGGGGGCATTTCAAGTCCTGCGGGGGGGTTTTCCTTTTCAGCAGGGGCCTACCCCGTGCCGATCACGGACCCGCACGGGTAGGCGTCTGAAATGGATAGCTCCATCTGTAAACACACACTGTGGTCAATTTGGGGGAGGATTTGGCGCCCTCTATCAAAAGTTATTTAAATGTGATATTCCCGAAACTGCTATTTTCTGCATCTATAGCGCTTTCTGAACATAAAACTCAAAGAATATTCACATGACCACGGCCGCTAGTTTGGGGACAGCGTCCTTCAGTGAAGTATCTATCAAACTCTAATTTGATATGCTATAACATATTATAACATTAACAGTACAAAATAGGTATTATCTGTGACATGTCTTCTCTACTGTTGATGTGTTTTATACTGCACGTTTATAGCCTATATTATTTGATGTTTATTTTATTCAAATGTAATTGTGTCAATACTTTATTCCACCGTTTGAATGCCTGAACACATTTGGGATAGTTAAAGTATCCATCTGTCTGGTATAAAGCAATGTTAGGGTACCAATTACCCAGTGGCGAACCGTCAGGGCCTTCAAGGTAGTCAGAGAATACCCTGATAACTCAGATAAAAAAAAGACATTTATTGATTTAATTATATAAATACAATTTAATAAAATGTAAATACATTTTATAAATGAGAATCGTATCTGTGTTGTTGTTCTGTAATAAACAGTGTTACGTGGATTTGTTTGTCCTTCTCGGACCTTGCACTATGCATTTTAGAAAATAAATGCAACCAATCAGATCTGTGTCTGTGGGTATTCTGTATCCTTGATAGAAGGCCCTGGTCGTTGAACTGAATGAGAGCGAACACTCTGATTGACAGTTTGATCAACCAATCATATATTGATTTGTAGCCAATGGGCGTATTCTTTCGGAGTTTCCCACGGTGCAGGGTATGCTAGAAGGCCCGTTAGCTCTGACAGGTGCGAGACACAGGATATAGATGGGACGTAATCATTCATTTTCTGTTTTATTCGTTTTAACGTTGACATGGCGACAGGTGAAGAAGATGTTGTTGCGGAATTATTGTCGGTTCCTTTTTCAAGACGACAATTCACTAAAAAGACGGACATTGTAAAAAAAGGGCGCCCAACGCCTGAAAATCTGGAGCTGAATCAAGTTGCTAAAGGCTATGTTCGCCATTTCCAGCCTAGCAACTGGGAAAGATACCCGTGGATTACAGGCTCAGTTAGTCACAAAAGGCTCTACTGCTGGGAGTGCTTGCTTTTTGGGACCGAAAAGGGGGCATGGAATTGGAAAGGCTACGATAATCTGAGCTGTTTAACCAAGGCTGCACAAAAATACCAAAACACAGCAGGGCATCTTAAGGCAACGGTCACCATGAAGACTTTTGGAGACACAAGGATTGATCTACAGCTGGACGAACAGAGACGTAGAGAAACGATCATTCACAACGAAAAGGTAAACACAAATCGGGATATTTTTGAAACGTCTGATCCACTGTGTGATTTTCCTTCCTTTCAGGGGCCATGATGAGAGCAGAGAATCAGCCAATCGAGGTAATTACCTGGAGCTTCTTACATTCATAGCAGAATATGATCCAGACTTGCACTACCATTTGTCCACTTCTAAGGTGTTCATTGGAACCTCGAGTCAAATACAGAACGACTTGATAAGTGCTGTGGCCGAAGTGATGGGTGAGACCATCAAAGAAGAAATAAGTAAAGCACCCTTCGTAGCTTTAATGCTGGATGAAACAACAGATGTCAGCAATGCTGCACAGTTGTCGTTTGTTCTTCGGTTTGCAACAGAAAGTGGCGTAAAAGAGAGGTTCGTCAAATTTGAGGATGTGACGGGGAAGAAACGGGCAGAGGATGTAGCAGCCATGGCCCTTGATTTCTTGGAGGAACATGGATGCATGGGCAAACTTGTAGCCCAGTGCTATGACGGTGCTGCCGTTATGGCATCGGGGCTGAACGGAGTCCAAGCCAAGGTCAAGGAAAATATCCCACAGGCACTTTTCATACACTGTTATGCACATGCCCTTAATTTGGTTTTATCTCAAGGTGTAGTTAAAATTAAAGAATGCAGAATTTTCTTCTCACACCTTTCTGGCCTGGCTGCGTTCTTTTCTAGATCGCCAAAACGAACGCAGCTGCTTGATGAAATATGCCAGAAGCGACTGCCACGAGTGGCACCAACCAGGTGGAATTTTGCATCAAGATTGGTGTGCACTGTCTTTGAAAAGAAGGATGCTCTTAAGGATCTGTTTGACTACATAGTTGAACACCACGAGGAATTTGATGATGCTGCCATTCTCAGTGCTGATGGCTACCTATCAAACCTGGGCAACTTTGAATTTAGATTTTTCCTTTCAACTTTTAACGAGATATTTGCGCATGCAGATGTGCTCTTCGACATCTTACAGAACAAGTCATTCGACATGCAGTTTTGTCTGACAAGGGTGGAAGAGTTTTGCATTTGCATTGAAGGGCAGAGGGATCGTTTTGATCAAATATATGATGAGACTGTGCAGGACACCGGCCTGCCAACTGGACGGAGAGCCCACGGAGATTCTCGCTCACACTACAAGAAGCTGCACAATGGCATTCTTGAGAACATTTTAAATCAGGTGCAAAATCGGTTTAAAGATCACAAAAAACTGTCATTCCTTTCTCTTCTGGACCCTCAACAGTTCACCAGCTTTAACAGCAATTTCCCTGAAACGTTTGTGTCTACAGAAGGTCCAGTTGTGATAGACACGCTTCGCCACTGCAATTACCTCTAGTAAACTGCCAGTTTTTGGTATACAAGTTATGTATGTTGTTTTTGTCTATGCTGTCAGGCATTACAGGGAGAAGCATGGAGATGGCAACACCAGTTCTCCGCATCCTGAATCCCCAAGCTCCAGGGGATCGCACACAGGAAGAGTTGCAAATCATGGTCACATCATACTGTCATATCAATATCAGCACTCCTGCTAAATGTGTTGTTTTATTTTGGTCATTAAAAACTGGCATCAAATTATCATTACATTTGTTTTCACTAACCTCAGACGAGCACACTGGACTCATCCTCGTGACCAGGGGATGATGGTGACCTGGTAGCTGCGAGCCAGGCTGTGGAAGAAGGCAAGTGAGACACAGTTCATATATGAAGGAAAACATGTTCTAAAATAATACTCCTAGTTCAAATGTGCTTTGTTTGGTACATTTTTAGATATGATCAAGAAAAGGCCCAAAGCAACTGCTTAGCGACCTGGAGGCAGTGCTGTCGGGCCCGGAGCTGCTGCGCTCCTTCCTGATGTGTCTGTCTAGCTTGAAACTGCTGCCGCCGCCCACCCTGCTATTGCTGCTGTCCGGCCTGCTGCCCAATACTGTGGGGTGAAGTGTCTTGCTCTGGGAGGGACACAACGACATGCTGACTGCAGTGGGGTTTCAACCCGTGCTCCCCTGATCCCAACACCAACACGCTGCACCACAGCCTCCCTGTACACATAATCTGATATGTATCCACTTGAGCTTTTTTACCTGTGTTTATGTTGTTGCTGTTGCCATCCTTTATACTGAATCAATGAAGGTGAATGGCTGCTCAGTAAAAATAAACTACTCATTGTGCACTCATTTCACAAACATATCTTTTGTTATATTGTGATTATAATTAGATGGATTGTTCTTCTTAATTTGTGTTATAGTTTTCAAAATAATGTTATATTTAATACAAATACTCATGTTTTTGAGTTATTACATTTGTATTTACATATATAAATTTGCTATTATTCAGCGTGTGTGAGTTGTTGTGTGGTTGAATGTATATGAATGGACACAAAAATGTACTTGCCTGCTTCACATACTGTTACTCTTATTACTGCCTGAAACTTGCCCTGGACTAGCTTCAAATTGGCCGTGTCATGCATGATATTAAAGGAGGGACTCTCCCTTTGTAATATCAGAATGTTGTTACATGTATTCATATCATAAACGGCTTGGTATGTGTGAACTGTAGAACTGTAGACTGCCCTCTTTCAACTAAGCAACTTCCCACCTGACAAACACAGGCTGTCCTCTGAAAAGTCCACCTGGAGTGTGGTGATTTAGCAATTTCTTTTAAAGTGACAGATGGAATGAGTTGAAATCACAGACAAAGATCTTTGTGAGAAAAAAGAGCATTTATTGAACATAAATAAAGGAACAGTAACAAAAAAACACCACACAATAATATAACAAATAATAAAAATAATAAACACTAGAAACACACAAGAATAAAAGACACAGCGAATAAATTCAAATATATACAAAGTTACTCAACCCAGAACCTGCTAGTCCTGGTCTGGGTTAAAGAATCTCCTGAACCTAGTGTCCAAATTGGCCTCCCGTTTGTTGGAGCGGCGCCTCTTCCTCAGTGTAGTTTTTATTCTCTCCCCAAGGTAGGAAGGGAGAGATGTGGATCTGTTTGGCCTCCACCCGGGAAGCCAGATGCCCTTGGCCTCGCCGTCAATGGCAATGACGGCCGCCTTCAGCTTCAGGTCCTTGGTGTCTGAGAATTAACATTTACAATTAGTACCCAATGTCATTCCCTTGCCAATAAGCAGGTGCACATTTGTGTTTGTTAGTTACCTTTTATTTGCATGCGATCCAGCTTCCAGAGGAAGAAAGCCCGCTGGAGAGAGGAGAGCTTATATTTTGAGGCACCCCCCTCAGTATAGTGAGGGCGGAGTGCCATAGCCAGGTCTGCATCCAGCTCTTCCAGGCTCTTGGCCTCTGGGCTCTGGGCATGCAGTGATGGAGGGGATTGAGGTGATGCAAGTGATGCAGGTGATGGAGCTCGTGGAGGTGGCGCTGCGGCTCGTGGAGGTCCTTGGAGGATCAGGCTGTTTAAAGCATGAAACTTGGCTGATAGGCTGTCATTGAGGGCCCTGAAGCCATGATCAAGGGATCTCCCCACCAGATCCACACTCACATCAATATTGCGGAGCAACTGCTCTTGCAGGTCCGGCCTGATGCTGGCCTGATTCTGCTCCACCTCCTCCGGGAACATCTGCTCAAATACCTGATGGATATCAAAGGCCTCTTCCAGGACCGAGCTGTCTGAGTCGGCCACTGGAGATTGGTATCCATCCAGGTCGAATAGAGTAGGGTCCCAGGACATATAGGCACTCATGGACTCCATCCTGTAAGCAGAGATTTCAGTGTTGTCAACCTGTGAGCTGCTATTTTTGACAACTTGGTCAACAATCAAAACCAACTCCCCCCCCCCCCCCCACACACACACACACACACACACACACCAGTAGAGCTATCAAAATGGCAACATTTGGGGGATGGTGAATTAAGTTGAGAACGGCGGAAGGGTTACAGTAACTTTTATTACAAAACGTTCTAAATGACGTTTTAACTGTCCATGACTTGACACAAATGCATGCGTTATGACAGCACAACGTTGACCTAACCCATTGAATGCATGCATGTAATTGTGGTAAACGAGATGAACTTAAGCAAGATATAGGTTAATTACAAGTTTATTAGATAAGTGCAAAACGGGTCACATTGAAAAACAAAGTGAATACATGTTGTCATTTTTCCTGCCTGCATTCATTAAACAACAGCCACAGCTACAGTCAGATTCAATCTTTCACCTGTATAAGCCTTTAGCATTGAAAGGGCTGCGGTCGTTTTAAAGCTAAATACAAAACATGGTCATTAAATAAATAAAAACGAGTTGACAGCAACTTAAAGCAACTGCTTTAATTGCCGCATGGTACATGGTACAGTTTCCTCACCTTTTGCTTGTAGAAGCTCGTCAAATAACTGCAATGAGATCATCAATGACTCGTGGATCGTGTGTGTGCACTGTAAGATTGCAAACAGGTAGGGGCCGGCCCTAGACTTTTGGGGGCCCTAAGCGAGCTTTGGCTTGGGGGCCCCCATCACTCACCCTCAAACTGTAGGCTATTCTTATTTTGTCATATCGTATTTAATAACTGTTTTTCATTTATTCTCTCTGGCTGTCCATCTCCTAATGTTCACATAGAAACTAGCTGTCAATAGGGATATCATTCAGAAGAATTATAATTTCTTGCAAAAATCTGTCACAAAAAGAGTTTGCACATTTAAATGCAGGTGTTGTTATGGCAACGTCAGTGGCCAAACAGCCACATTTACTACATTTAGATTGTATGACAAAGTGTGTTTTGTTTTTTTGCTAGGGGGCCCCTTAGTGGCTGCTTATGTCGCTTAATGGGTCGGGCCGGCTCTGGCTGGAAGCATCACAATTGTTGTCAGGTGTCCTTCTGGTCCTGACAGAGGAGTCCCCCAGCTGAGTGTCTGGGTCCCCCTCTCCCCAGGATTCTCTCCACCCCCTCAATTATCTCCTTCTGATCCTCAGAGCACAGCAGTGGAGGATGGCTTCACTGTGGGCCAATCAAGCAGACCTTCTCACAGTTGGCATCACAAGGTCCAGCACGTCCTTCCTCTGGGACTTGAGGCAGTCCAGCTGAAACAGGATGTGCCTAGGCCCTTCGATCTAGGAGTGCTTGACCTTCATGTTAAACCAGCATGCACTCAAACAAATAATTAAGCCAAAAACGTTGACTTTATGTCATGTTATTCAATTGTATTTGGTATGTTTAATGTAAATACTCACATGCAATGCTTTGTTTTTCCATTTCGTTGTTTTAGTGTGAAATAATTAAGCAACTGTTAGATCGGATTAACTTTTATATATAGAGTTTATGTATTTATTGAATCAGGTAATGTTAATTAAGGGAAGATTTAAATAAACACAATGTGTTATTGCACATAAAAGGTTAACTAAATCATATGTCAAAGTCAACTTTATTATCAATCTTTCAGTTTGTGTGTACAGACAAAGAGATCGAAATACCATTTCTTAAAATCCTGAATACAAAAATATAAATATATATACAAATATGTATATCATATACACAATAAACAGACACATTTATACACGTGCACACATTAAGATACAAGCACAACAATCAATATATACAAGATAACAGTCACTTGAATATCTTTGGTAATGTACATTAGTGCAAGACTGTCGACAGCAGCGTAGAAAAGTGTCTGCTGCTGGATTTGAGTGTCTGAGTTTGTGTGGGGGTGTTAAAGTCCAGTGGGGGCAGGGGGAGAGAAGCTGTCAGAATTATTATAATAATAAATGTTATTTATGGGCGCCTTTCAAAGCTCTCAAGGAGACCTTACAGAGCATAATTAAAAACCAGCAACAAAGAAGGTCAAACAGTAATGCAAGACTTAAAAAAACAAAGACTTAAAAGCAACAATCAGTTGAGAGGAATTATGATATAGAATACGCCAGTTTAAAAAGGTGGGTTTTCAGGCAGGATTTGAAGGTTGAGTGTGAGTCCAAATTGCGGGTGTCTTGTGGGAGAGAGTTCTAGAGACGGGGGGCAGAGTGGCTGAAGGCTCTTGACCCCATGGTGGTCCGGCGGGCAGAAGGTACAGTGAGCTGGAAGGCAGAGGAGGATCGGAGAGCACGAGAGGGAGTGTAGGTGTGAAGGAGTTCAGAGAGATATGGAGGTGCAAGAGTGTGAAGGGCCTTGAAGGTGAGGAGCAACATTTTGAAGTTGATGCAGTGTTTAACGGGGAGCCAATGGAGATGTTGAAGAACCGGAGTGACATGATCCATGGAATGAGTTCTGGTAATGATACGGGGGGCTGAGTTTTGGACCAGTTGGAGCTTATGCAGAGATGCTGTGCAGCTTCCAAACCACAGCGTGATGCTCAGGATACTCTCGATGGCGCCTCGGTCGAAGGAGAGCATGATGACGGGGGCGGGGGGGGGGGGGGGGGGGCTCCAGCTCTCTTCATTCTAAAAAAAGGTGGAAAACAAGATCAATGACTTTTTTGAAAATGTTAACATAGCAAGTTAAAAAGTTTTGTTTTTTTACTTTAATCAAATGAATGACTTCAAACCAAAGTTCTTTCCAGCCTTCACTCTCCGTGACGTGCAGAAAAAGAAAATCCTGGGCTGGAATGGAACTGACTGGTACGAGCTTTGTCAGAGAGGCCAGGCATCATCCAGCAAAGCCTAAACCAGCCACAAAAGCTGAAAAGCCAGAGGAGGAGGAACCACAACAACCAGTGGAAGATGT